TATGGTGTATCCTACTGGATGCAGTAGATCTTAGCTCAGATAAGTTCTCTGACAACAACTTTTCCTGAATTAGTGAAGCCAGAAGTCACTCTTTACTCCTCTGTGTCCCTTTAGTGGTCACCTGGCAACGTTTGCACTTGTGGAAGGTTTTTAAATTTTTTTTTTTTTTTGTGTGTGTGTGCAGGGTCTCACTACACAGCTTGGACTCATAGTGATCCTCCTGCTTTCTGCCTCCCTACTGCTGAGATTACAGGCATGCACCACCACTCCTAGATTCTATCACCAGCCCAGAGGTGGGGCCAGTGTGGCTGGTGGGGCATGCAGTGCCAGGGATCGAACCTTGGCCCCTGTGCTTACCTAAGCAAGTGCTTAGTCCACTGATATTTTTCACCAGCCCTGAGTTTTTTTTAAAATCAGCTTCTTCTATTAAATATAATAATATATTTCTTAGCAGAGAACATATCTGATACAGGTTTATGTGAAGCACAATCTGTATAATCCATTCAAATATTTAGGGAAGTTATTTTATTTTTTTCAAGTTGGGTAAATAAATTTGCATTTGATCAATGTGTTGTTTGGGATCAAATTTCAGAACTCAAAAATATCACGGTATTTTGAAGACAGAGTTAAGAAGAAGAGAAAAATGTAAATGTTAGGCTACAAAAGTCAATTAAATGAATCACGAAACAATTACAATGCTTTTTTCCTTTTTGGTGGAACTGGGTATTGAGCTCAGGCCCTTGTGCTTGCCAGGCAAGCACTTACTCTATTGAGCCATCTCCCTGACCAACAATTATAAATATGAAGGCAAATGTTTAGAGTTATCTCCAGGCTATCACTACAACAAGCATGACACAGAGTTCTGGTAAGAGGTGGTTATGTCTCTTGAACTTCTATGTAATCCTACATTTCTTTACTTGTTTTCTCAGTGCTTCTGATTTACCAGTTTATAGAAAAACAAATATTCTTACCATGTTGAGGGAGTAAGACTCCTGTGTTTTGCAGGGTTTATGTGAGGAAAGATTTCAGAGTAGCTCTCTAGGGAGGTAAAATTTGTTGTGTTGGAACTTTTTGTTTCATTTCTCTGGTTGGAAAAGAGTTTGCCTTAAGCTTTTGCAAATGGTCCCCATATTGATTTAATAAGGGCTCAAGGCAAACCTACAGAAAAGTCTTTAGTAACAGTGTGTGGTTCTCTTTGTAAGATGAAAAAGACACTGAATAGTCAAATTTATAAGAAGATTTCTACTGAGTTCAATTCAGATTTTTAGTTTTTATAAGTCTCTATTAGATAATAAATACTCTAGAGCCCTGGTGGTCAACCTATAGCAAATGGCCACAGCAGGCTGTTTGTGTTGTTGAAAGCTCTACAAGAGTCATCATCCCCTGCTCTAGGAAAAGGAAAGAATTTAACCAAACTACAAAATTCAGAATTTCAGTTTCAGTTGAACTTTCAAAGTTTCACTGAAGCTTTTAAAATGAAAGTCAAAGACTGGACTCAAGCAAATGGGAGATAAGAAAGAAAATGGAAGTGAAGGAAGGGATAAGCCAAAGGAAAAGGCGGCCCTTTCTACCCCTACACAAGGCATGTTACTGTGATTGCCAATGTGGTCAGCTTTCTTCATATGTGTAGAGACCTTGGTAATCTTTGTATCTTTATTTGCAGTTGGGAGCTTGTTCAAATGTGATTTTTTCTTCTGCAAATGTATTAGACAGTTTTCCTGTCACAGGCACAAAATGTCTGGTGCCTGAAACTTAGAGGAAGACAGGCTTAGTTCTGACTTACAGTTTCCGAGGGTACAGTCCATGGTCAGCTGGACCAAAGCAGAAATGTGGGAGGGTGTGGTGGAGCCAAACTGCTCAGCACAGTGGCAGCAAGAGAAACGTCCTGTGAAGAGATGTTCTTAGCAGCGCATTCCCTCGGACTGGACCCCACCTCCTTGCAGCACCTTCAGTCATGAGCGCCAGTGCACTCACCCACTGATGAGAACAGCATTGCCCTGACCCAGTTGCCTCCCTAAGAGTCTTGTGTCAGATTGACAGTCTAGCGTAATCATCACAGTAATCTTACCCCATTCATTTTTTAGAGGGATTTTGGCTAACTCAGGGATTTCATTGGGTTGGTGGGAACAGAGCTACAGGAAAGGTGGTCTCTTGGGCTTCCAGGATGGCTTTATTCCCCAATAGTCAAAGCTAGAAAGGAAAACTTTTATCAGTCTACAATAAAAAACCCTTCATTATTATTTTTTAAATTTTTAAATTAATTTTATTGAGAAACAAATAGCAATGAGAAAGTTTCAAAACCGATTAGTAGGACAGTTTCAATAATTAATACATTTCATATTGTTGTCTTTGTAGTGGTTATCCATAGTACAAGATGCAGACAATGACATGATATCCTGTCCACAAACACTATTAGTACAAATCTTTCTTTTCATTAAATTAAGAGAAAGTAGCTGTGTATCTACCCTATTTTGTATATACAGATACAAAATGGTTCTTCAGTTGTATCCCCTTTCTTTGTTCAGTTTTGTCAGAGAAGGGTATTCCATTGTCATTTAAATATTGTAGGTGCATGAATGCAGCAAAATAATCCAATATACTCCAGTAAACCCTTCATTATTATTATTGTACTTGTATTTATATTTTTCATTCTGTAATAAATACAGGCTTATAAGAAGTTCCAAATATACTACATGAAGATTCTGTGTGAACTTCACACAATGTCACCCAGTGGAATCACCGCACTAACTGCAGTACAACTTTAAGCCAAGAAATGACCATTGGTATAACACAATGATCCAATTCAGATTTCAACAACTTTTGTAGCCACTCGTGTGTGTGTGTGTGTGTGTGTGTGTACCTATCCACTTTTATCCCTTGTGTTATGTAGTAACAGCTCTTACAACCACCACCACAACCAAGACACGGGTCTGCCTCGTATCACCAAGGAGCTTTCTGAAATCTTCTTTTCTATCTGCCACACCCATAACTCTTGGCAACCACCATCTGTTTCCCATCTCCAGAATCTTGTAGTTTCAAGAATGTTATTTAAATACAGCCCACAATCTTACAACACTTGTCTCTTTTTCCAAAGCATAGTTTTCAGAAACTTTGGAAATACTGTCCCTATCTGCCAAATAACATAATGTCAACTATATGCTGGACACTAAACCCTTCAAAATAGCCCTGTGAAGCAACTAATAGTAAACCACATCAGTCCTATATTTAAAAATGCTTTTAATGGCTCTTTATTTCACCTATAGAGCCCTTAATCTCATACTGTGACTGAAGAACCCAGTATGAGCACGTAAAACTGTAAGAATAATAAAATAGATGCTGGATGAACACTTTCAGTGCAAATATGTTCCATGTAATATTTGGGACCAATGTCCGCTAAATTACCGTTGTGTATCTCAAATTCACATCGAAATTAGTGTCCCCGTTTTGTCTGGTGTCCCTTCCTCTCTCACCACGCTGTTACCCTACACTGCTTTGTTGTCTGCCTGGGACTTTTTCACTACTAAAAATTTTGTTTATTGTCTGACTCTTCCCCTACTCAGCTCTAAGTAGCTTTATGGGGGTGAAATCCTGCTTTATTTTGTTCACAACTGTTTCCAGAGCCTATCCCAGTCCTTGATGCATAGTAGGTGCTGAATAAATATGTATTTGTTGTAAGGATAAAGAAAACAAAACAAAACGCAGGTTGCGAACACCTCGGGACATACTGCTAGCCAGAGGAGAGGCTATATTCAAATGGTGGAGCGAAACTTAGGAAACTTTCCCTTGGTTTCCATATTCAGGGATGCAGCAGAGTGGAGCAGGGCCCGGTGTCACCTGTCTTTCCAGGCTCTGCTACAGAATCCGAAGACCCTGGGTGAAAAGGTGTGGGAGAGGCAAAGTCTCAGTAAGCTGAAAAGTGCTCTTCATTTGCCTTGCAACGAAGCAAATGGGCTAGGGAAAGAAAAAAACGTGCCCGTAGGAGAAGAACGTGGCAGAGTGGCAAATGGGGTCAGGGATTGTGCGCCTCTCTCCCGTCTTGTCCACCTTGAACTCCAATTTACAACGTTAGGGGTTGGCCTTACTGGCAGGCTCTGGAAACGAAGTCACCAGGGACCATGCCAGGGAGAGCGTGACGGGTGAATGAAAGGGATGAAGTGGAGACAGAAGAAAGCAAACTCCTCTCGGACTCGGGCGCGAGCATCGCGTGTGGAGCCTTAGAATTTCGGTGGGGCTCCGCGCTCGAGGCGGACGCTCTGCGTCCCAAGGGGCCCACCAAGGACGCAAGCAGGCTCTCCCGACTCTGTTCCTCTGGCCTCACCTAGAGGGCCGCCCGGAGCGAGCTGCGTGGGCCAAGGTGGCGGGATCGCCAAAACCAAGCCGACCCGGGCCCTGCCGCTCCTCCCCGCTCTCGCGCGCCCTCCCACCTAGCAGCGGGATGATAGTCCAGGGGTGCTCCGCCGGGGCTGCGGGTCCCCGCCGCTGTCTGCAGCCGGACGCGCCCTGCCGTGGGAGCCGCGCGCGCGCGGGGCTGGGAGGCGGTCGCTCCCGCTGCTGACAGGTGCTGCCCGAGGGCGCAGGGCGCAGGGCGCGGTCCCTGGCCCGGAGTGGCCGGGCGTGAGGCTCCTGCAGCTCGGAGTCCGGGCACGGCCTGAGAGACGCCGGGCGCCTGCAGCCGCGGAGCTCGGGGCCGGAAACTTTGCAGGCGCGGCGGCGGCTGGGATCCGGTGACCGCGCCGGCCCAGCCCGGAGGTGTGGAGGAAGGGACGGCGCCAGAGCCCCAAGGCGCGGGAGCCTCGGCCGAGGCGGCGGCGTCGCTGCTCCCCGCTGGCCTGAAGCCGCCGGGCGCTCCCGGCTTCGGCTGCTGCTGCGCCCTCGGCCGCCGCCACCGCCGCGCGACTCCGAGAGGAGGCGCAGCCCGCGAGGGCGGAGAAGCTCGGGGAGCAGGAGGAGGAGAAGAAAGAGGAGGAGGAGGAGAGGAGCCGAGGGGCGCCGAGTGGAGGATGGAGCCCCGGGCACCCGCGGCGGGCGAGCCCGAGCCTGCGGCCGCGTCCTCCTCCTTCCACGCGCGGTTCTGGAGGAACCTGCAGCTGGGGGTGGGCAAGGGCAAGGGCGGCGCGGGTGGGCGCGCGGGGGGCGCGGAGCGCCGCACTGCGGACACCCCGTCCCCGTCCCCGCCGCCCCCGAGGCCCACGCGGGACGCGCTGCCCGGCGTGGCGAGCTCGGGCAGCAGGTGGAGCGGCTTTAAGAAGCGGAAACAAGCGCTGGACAGGGTCTTCTCGTCCTCCCAGCCCAACCTGTGCTGCTCCTCGCCGGAGCCGCTGGAGCCCCGCGGCGCGGGCCGAGCCGAGCAGGGGTCCGCGCTGCGCCGCCGGATCCGGGATCATCTGCTGCCCGTGGCCAGGGGCCCCGCGGCGGGGACGCCTCCTGGCGGGCTCTCCCCGGACTCGGCGCCGTCCTCGTCGTCCGCCTCGTCTTCCCTGTCCTCGTCTCCCCAGCCGCCCCCGAGGGGCGACCGCGCCGGGGATGAGGGCGCGCGGCGTCGGGGCCCCGGGGCGCACCTGTGCCACCAAAAGAGTTCGTCCCTGCCGGGCACCGCTTGCCTGGAGCAACTGCTGGAGCCGCCGCCGCCCCCGGAGGAGCCGGCTCGGAATCCAGCGGGGCCCGCGACCCCGGAGACCGGCGAGGAGCGCGGCAGCAGCCAGGTGAGTGCGGGCGCGGCGGGGCCGGGCGCTCGGGCCACGCCTCCAGCCCAGCTGGCTCCGGTGTTTTCTTCCAAGTCGATCAAACAGTGCTAGGAAGGCATCTCGCTCTTCTTTAATAACCCTGGAGTTAGTAATTTAGTAATTATGGTGGAATTCTGATTTGCTCCCTTACTTTGAATGAGAATGACACCTGTCGCCGGAAAGCCGTTTGGGTAAACGGAGTATTTAGGGCCGGGGGAGCTACGGAAAAACTCAGCTAAGTCTCTCCGTGGCAACAGAAAAAGGCCCCAGTCTTAGCTTAAGGAAGGAACGGCGACGTGTGGAGGGGCCACTTGGGCCCCGCGGGGGCAGGAAGGAACGCGCAGGGCGAGGAGGCCAGGGCTGGGGACCGCCCGTGGCAGGCGCCCGTCCCTTCCCGCATTCCTTTGAAGCGCTCTGCAGCAGGTGGGACACCGTCCCACAAGTGGACTGCACGAGCGTGGCACTTCTAAGTGCTAATGGGCACCGGAAGCACTTGCTTTCAAAATAGTCTGCTTTGTACATCGGGCTGACAGTACTCAGAGAGGAGTCAAGTTTTTAATGTGTTTTTTTTTCTGAAGCATTCTATTGTAGGATCTGTAAGGTATGGCATCCGTGATTGGCTGGTTTTACTCCCTCCGCTTTGAAGAGGAAATGCTTTCTTTTGATAAATGTATCAAACTATGTTAATGCTAGAAAATATTTCAAAAATTCTCTTCTGTTGGGCATCTAAATAATCTTCTCTTAATACTTCTTTTAGCTTATTTCAACTCTCATCTTTTTACTCTGATTAATTATGTTACATGAATGACATATACATTAAAACTTTAGGTTAAAAAGCGACGCTATAGAAGCTAAAACTATAAGAAGCAGTAGGGCATGAATTAGGGGTGAGATACCAGACTAGAAGCTCTTTTAGATGAAATTTTTATAGTTTATTGACTTTTATTAGTGGAGTTTCTGAAAATCAGAAAACCAGGATATTTTATTGCTTATTATGGACAATTGTTTACAGTAAGCAAATACTTGATGTTCTAGGAATATATTTTATTTCAGAAGCGTCAGGAAAGCCTGTGAACAAAAAACTAAATAAATTTATTTTTCTTTTATTTTGAAAGTGAACTGGATAGAAATAGTTTTTGTTTCAAAAGTAAAATAAAAAAGTATGCTAAAGGCGTGTTTTTCCTTCAGCAGAAATGAATTTTCTATATGTATGAAAGAAACTATTTTTTTAGTGCGTGTGTAATCTTCATGTGTAAGAGTTCTAGAGTTAGGGCACTGCTTTATGCTTTGTTTTGCATAGCTTTTACTATCAAGGATAGCAGAACAATAAATAATAATGGAATCACATTGGAAGGTGAATGGCATGTGACTGAATGTTAGCTTACTAAGTCGTTTTGCAGCTCACTGAAATAAGATCTTTTCAGAGCAAAAATAGGGATTTTGAATTCATCCCCATGTTCTCTTTCACCAAAAAGTTTTCAGAAGCTGTCAGTGTTTATTTTTAGCTCCTTTAAATGTAAGTATGAATTCTGTATACAAAACATATGACCTTCCCTTGGAGGAAATACTACCCTAACGTTAGGAGTGTGCCTTCTCGGGGCACTGAGGCCTCTTTTACCTCACATAATTTAATTCTCGCTGCAGTGCTCTGTGCGAGAAACTGTTGTCATTTTACAGGTTAGGAAGCCAATGGCTGCCTCTAAGTAGGCTTTCCAGGGGATGAATGCGAGAGGGCTGTTTGTGCATGATTACACCTGTCTTTGATAACTTTTAAAAGTTAAATTTCTGAGATAATTTTGCTCTTACAGGTTGATTTGTATTAGAGACTTGCAAGTTTGCGCTCACTTTTGGTTTTTCCATTCCTACACAAATCAGCTCTAGATTAGCATATTAATTTCCAAATCGTTCTGTGATGCATCGTTACATGTCATATTTAAAGTGCATCATATATACCATATGATTAAAAATTAGTTTTAATCATCATCTGGAGAACTAGCATTTCAATGTAGACACAAGGAATTTTTTTTGTCAATTTTTAAAGAATACAAATTAGCATTAAAACAAAAAATTACAAGTACAGAATTTCACTTAACAAAGTAATAGGAATTTCACAGTATTTGTTGTAATACATAGTGCTGCCTTCACAGGAGAATTTTTTAAAAGTTGAAGGACAGGTGGAAAATAGGTGAGCATTGTGACACAGGCAGGAAGAACAGTGGGTCCTCAGGGACGTGCCCGATGCGAGACACAGACCCAGGAAGAAGCTCCAGCGTTGGTCCCCAGTGCCTGCTGCCCAGGGACTTTGTTTTCTGAGTAGAAATTCCAGAGGAAAAACTTCTTAGCCCTCCAGATACTCTTTGCCCAACCCAAGGAGCCCAGCTCACTTCTGATTGGAGAAAAATAATTAGACTAGAAGTGGAGCTCAAGGAGACCTTGCTGTGCCAGTCAGACTTAGGCTCAGTGTGACGTGCCGTGCCCTGCCCTGCGCACTTCTGGGACATCCGGGGTCTTCCCTGCCCTCCTAGCTCCTCCTTGTCAAGACACCTGAGTATGGGGAGGAGCTTGTAATACCTGCTGGGTTGCTTTATTTTCAGGTCCCAGCTCAGACCTGTAGACAGAGAAGACAGGAGAAGCAGTTACGTTGTGTTCGCGCAAAGAACTTTCTCTTGGGGCAGAGAGAAAAGTCATTGCAAAAATAGACAAATTATTGAATTTTGCTCGTGTTGCTGCTGGAGGCTGGCATCGACCCCGCTTGCAGTACGCGTCTCTGCTCGCTTCCCAGCATGAGGTCCTGACGGCGTATGTCTTCATAGTCTGAAGCTGGGTAGAAATGTTAAGTAAAAGCAAAAAATCATTTTGGGCTGTGAGGGAGAGCTTTGGAAATCACTGATGTCCAGGGATTGAAAGCACACCACATGTGCTGCCTGGCCTGCCTGTGCCGGGCCTCCTCACAGTTAGGCTCTCTTTAGCCAAATGTTACCTTTGAAACACACTGACAAACCTATAGATGCCTTGTGACTGGGCGTGTGCGTTGTTCAAAACATTCTGCTATGAGAATAAGGAAAGAGAGAAAAATTTTCTTTCTTCCGCGGCTTTCAGTTCACGTGTCGGCCCATATTGCCACACCAGATGCATTTCGCTTTCTGCAACACATTTGGGAAAGATGCTCTCTCAATTTGTGTGCGTATAACACATATGCCAATTTTATGTATGTGGTCTTGATGAGGTCCTAAAATTATCTTCTGCTAGAATCAGAAAGTCAGTATTTTGAGATAAAGGGTGAAGAATGACATGTTATATTTTTAAGCGTCTTAACAAAAGCATGTAGTGTTTATGAATGTCAAACTTCTGTTGTTTTTCTAAATACATTTTATGAAAGGTGCTTTCAGAGAGGAGAAAAATGCTTCTGAAAAAAGGGCAGATCATTCATTGTGTGATAGAAGTGTTTTCAAACATAGAAGAGCCATATCTACTCATTGGGAAAAAATTAAGACTCCTGAGAGACAAAAAGGGCAAAATATTTTTTAATTTACTTTATTGAACATAGAAAAAAATAGAGAAGACATTAGAAATTATTAAAAAAAATTTAATAAAACTCAAGATGATAGGTATTAACACTGACTGTTATATTGTACATTGAAGGGAAAATTTAAAAAAAAATTATTTAAGCCTTATATGAAGAATAGCTTGTGGGCTGGCCAAATAGCTCAGTGGGTTGAAGTGCCTGTAACCAGATGCAGGGGCTGGAGGTTTGATACCTGGTCCTATCATGCTGGCCCTGCCTCTGGGGCCCACTGAGATGGGCACGGTAGTGTGCGCCTGTAATTCCAGCTCTTGAGAGGCTGTAAACAGGCGAATTACTACAAGTTGGATTTAGTAGTAAGACCCTGAACACCCTGGAGACCCTTCCCTAAAATATAGGAAAAAAAAGAACATCTTGCTTTACTAATTATCTGGCTATTTATTTATTTATTTCTTTTGCGGTACCAGGGATTGAACTGGGATTGAATAGGGATTGAATTTGCCAGGTAAGTGCTCATTCTATTGAACTATCTCCCCAGCCCTCATCTGGCCTTTTAAAGAAAGCCTTTAAAAACTCGCCAAGGATGATTTCACTTATGCTATCCATTTTTTGTTCATTTTAATAACCCTTCGTACAACTCTCCTCAATCTTGGAGAAAGCACAAATTTAAAAACACTTTCCAATGTTAGGAATCTAATATTTTTAAAATCCAAGTCCCTAAAAGCAAGTCTAATTAAATCCATGAAAACAACCAAGGTGGGAAACTGATCTAGTTTCAGAAATGACACCTTTTAAGTTCAAAGCAGAGGTGGGTGGATGAGATCTTAGGGTATTTCAGAGCAGGGTGTAAACTAGAGTTCGAGGCGTGATCACTTCTTCAACAATGTGGCAGTCATCAATTTATTCCAAGAAAGAGAATAAGCAGGGAGCGTTTCGATAGCGTAGACTCTGTCCCTTGGCCCTTTATTTGTTGTCCTGTGTACCTGGCATATTTGGGCAGAGCAAGAATCTTGAACAAGGGGCAAAGTTTTCTAGAAGTTGCGAGATTGGCTTGGAACATATCAAGTGCTCAATAAACATTAGTGGCTGCTGTTTTATTTATTTATTTTATTTTTTGGTGAAACCGGGGATTGAACTCAGGCACTTGCGCTTGCCAGGGAAGCACTTATTCCACTGAGCCATCTCCCCAGCCCTGTGGCTGCTGTTTTAGTTGCTAATGTTATGGCCCTGTACATTGAACTTTTGCTGCTAGCCATTACAAATAAGTGGGTACCTAACAAAATAGCAGGGAGCTTTGTCATCTTTTTCATATATGATGCAAACTATTTCACTTGCAGTTGTAGCGAAATCCCAAGATTAAGCAAGATAGTACAGGTAGTGTCAAAACTTCATTTAGTAGTGAAAAAGTCTTCAATGATTTTTAGCAAGTGTGTGTGTATTATTACAGAGGAATTAA